ATATCTTACGTTTATACATTCTCCTACCCATGAAATTCGTTAGCAACTAGCACGATCTCTTTTCTCACAATAAATTGTGAGTGTATACATTATAATAGTTAATAAAATTTCCCAATTATCGGAACTACTTGGATGTCATTCTTTTCTTTTTTAATTAAAATTGTAAAAAAACTCAAAGTATATTCGTTTGCAATGAGCAACAATATTTAGGATTAAAAAAATTATATTATAATAGCAACTAAATTCTCGATATATTATACAGTACAATGAAAATCATTTATTTTAAGTAATATATACAAAAATCAAAATTAAAAAAAAAAAGAATTTACATTAATCACGTGATAACAAGAGCTTTTTATTATGATTTCCATCGAAATCATTATATTGACGTATCGCCCGGCTTAATAGCTTAAAAATATAAATTATACATTTTCTAAATTTCATTTGTATTTTTAGATTAATCCATTTTATTAATCCAATTCATTGTGCTTATAACCCAGTTCATTCGCCAGTTCTCTTAAACTTGTATACTTTCTCTTCTCCAGTTCTTGGTACACCGAGTTCTTGAAGTTTATGGAATGCTGCCGCAAAGTCTTTGAAAAACAATTCTTCATTCTTAGCATATTCCTCAACTATCGGTTTCATTGCCTTATCCTATATCATAGGAATGATGGATTAATATAGTGACAACTCTTAAATTAACAAGAATTACATACGAATTGAAAAGATTTTCATACTTGAATCAATGCCAAATCTGCAGGGAGCATCATAAGCTCACCTTAACATATCAATAGGAAATTTCATTAACAAAACGCTATCTAAATTTTTGAAAGATGTATGCACCAAATACCTGTTTCTTTATCAACATATTGTTTTGGTCCCTTCCATTTCTTCTCCACCCATTTCTTTTCCAGAAGTTCTTTATAATAACCATTGGTAAATACAGTAGGTGAAGAAGTCCATGGACCTTCGTAACCCGATCTATCGGGATGACACCTGCCGAGAGCGTGGGCTCCAGCAAGCGCAACAATTTCTCTACATTACAATAACAAAAAAATTGATTGAGTCCGGTATAAATATGGTTTATCATTAAGTCAATTTTATCGATGATGAACAATAAAATTATTACTTGTCATTAAATCCCATTCGGTAAAAAATATCGCGAAGATGACTTGAACCCTTAGAGGCATCAGGGAGACGGCCATCGGGAGTAGAAACCGATGCATCTGCGTCTTTGCTTTATTCAAATTTTATGGGATATAATTATTAGATCACGCTTCAATAAAAGAAGGCATGTTCTTAAAAAAAAATTACCGGCCAGGTATCCACGGAATAATCGGACCACCCTAATGGTAGTTAAATTAGAAAGGATTAAGGCAGAAAAAAACACAATTGAACATTTCTATTTACACACCATTTCTTGAATTGCGACGACACCACCTAGACTCCATAGATCCGCGTACGATATTTCTGGATTTGCCTTTTTTATAGGCTCCAATTTGTCTCTCGCTATTTTTAATCCGATATTGGCACCGTATTCGGCCTCTGGTGGAAACCTCATTGCGGCACCATCACTGCCTCCAGTATTAGTGCTCTTATCATATGTACCAGAAGCGTGCCATGCCAGACGAATTAAAATTGGTCCATACGAACCATCATCATAATCATTATCTTCAAGAATATCTGCAATTTGGTTATAGACTGATTGAT